ACTAAACTGCCAGGTGAACTGGGAATGAGGCTGTCTACCAAAACCACTACGTTGAGGAATATTTTTCCCTCTGGCTGAAAGCTCACCAAAGAATCAAAAAAGTAGAAAGGTTTTTGGAACATTTGCAAGAGAAGAGCAACTGTTTATGGTGTGTCAGGTCTGCCTGGCATGATTTACTGTCTGGAAATTCTTCTTCATTTTACTTACGTTTATGGTTTCTTTATCTTCTAAATATGAAATGAATTTCTGACGTCCTTCTTTTGTTGATTTGGTATGGTGGTAGAGAAGAGGAAGGGAAAGAATGAAACCTGTGTTGGAGTGAGCGAAGAAAACCAGCATTTGGGCAGCATCTATGTGTTTCCTGTTGGTAATGGCAAATTGATGGCAAGATCTCTTACTTTTGAGCCTTACAAAAGGCTCAGGGAAGAGACTATTCTTCATTCTGTACTGCTTATGCACAAGCATCTTTGAGGAGTATATCTTGCATGCTTCATTATGTAATTAGTAAATGGGGAATGAGGTTTGTTTTGTAAAGAAAAACTTTTATCTAAATACATTTTACTCCATTATAGGATTCAAAACCATGTCTGCTGTAATTACTTAGGGGGAGGTGTCCTCTCCATCTTTTCCTTCCCCATAACTTTCTTGTGATTTCTTGCTGCAGATCAAGAAACGCCCTCCCCCATATTGGACATGGTACATAGAGCTCTTTCAGAAGTATCAAAAGCAGACGTTTGTCAATATTGCTTGCTACTTCCCAGAAACTGCATTTCCTAATTTTCTTTTCATAAATCATTGTGGAGCATTTTTGTGATCTCCGCAGAAGAAAAATATTGTATGCAAGCAGATTAGGTGAGGAAAAAATTGACAGAGAAAACCAGCTTCCTGTAGATACTGGATTTAAATATGGAACAGTAGTGCCGTGTCCTTCCCCATTGCAATGAAACACAAAGTTTTTGGTATGTGAAGGTTGGAGCACAACTCAAGTAATTGAAGTTCTTGAGTCCTTACACAGTTCACCCCTTTTTCCTCTCTTTCTTTCCCTTTTGGATGGCTGAACACTTCCATTAAAGCAGTGTTTTCACTCCTTAACCTGATTTGACCTCTGCGCTTTGTTGGTCATAACAAGGGGAGGATGGTCACGAATTTCCTTAAACCTGATGAGGATCCCAAGGCTGAGAACTACATTAGACCTCCCATAAACAAAGTTGAAACCCTCATGAGGCAGCTGTTGGCAAGCTTGCCATTTCTTTAAACCATGTCTGTTTAACGGGGGTGTGTGTGTTTGGGGGGACTTAAAAACCTTTTTCCCAGAGACAGACCAAATGAGACCTAGAGGCAAATCCCTAGTTTTCTGAAATCCTTGGGAATTGGTTCCAGTGCAGTTCTTACAGTCCAGCAATTTGCAAGCTAAAGAGAAAGAACTTAAGCCCTGGCTTGAATTTTGATGTGAGCCCCTCTGAAGCTCAGAATTATGAGTAGGAAGCATGCACTTACTTGAAGTTCAAGCTCTGCTCTTCTCAAAACATGCCTCACCAATAAATCTAATTATTATTGCCTTGCAGTGAATCTCACAAACAATGCGCTTGGCTGCCTGGTCCACCCACGCTCAGTGAAAGAATACGTACATTTTAATTATCAGTTTATTTCAATGTTACACAAACACTGTTTCATATTAAATATTTTTACAAACCAATGACATCTGTATTCAATACCGAGTGGATGATATTTTGTTCCCTGCCTATTAATGTGTGTAATTAGTATCTTTAAAACACCTTGATATTATATGTCATGCCAATCTCCCATAAGTAAAGTCACCATGGGAATGGGATGTTCTTTTTACCATCATTCCTTGGCTAACATTTTCATCATCTATATATCATTTCTACTGAGTAAAGTTTTCAAGGTGAAATTAAATAGATCTCTTGTATTTTTAAAATGCAGCTGGGGAGAAAGACTTCATGCCACTCTGTTTCTAAAACCCCTTCTGCTCCATATGTTTAATTGCAAATTTTAAAAACTTCTCTAAAGTGGCATAACTTTGTAAATGTTTTAGAAGCACTGTGGAAACTGCGGCACTCACTCTATAAATCGATGTTCAGAAGCTCCTGAGTGCATGTGATAAGGTGATTCCATGTGTGAGGTTTGTGAGTGTAGGCACAGGGCGGAACTTTCTACTTTGCAGCGTTTAGTAGTCACTGGTTTGCGGTTGCTTCCTGAAGAGACTCAGGACAGACATGAGAAGCGGTTTGAGGCTAGCAGAGGCTGCGGGGTTGGCTTGTCCCAAGGACTGCCCTTACTCAATGGACAGGCTGCAGGTGGGGAGGGAGCGGAGTTCAGGAGGAACTGGCAAGGAACTGGGTTGTATCACCTCTTCTGGTGTAGACCATGGAAGGTCCTACAGTTGTGGCCCAAATTAGGACAAGCCTCTCGCTGCTCTGGTTTGTGCTAGTGTTGGCTGTGCTGGCCCATGGGGTGGCTGTCACCAGGTCCCAGATGCCTCCTGCTTTCCCTGCAGTCATGCTGCCAATGGGGACCTGCGAAACCACCACCAGGTTTGGTTGGTACCCACTTCTGAAAGCATTGACCTTGGACAGTGTATGGTCTTTTACATACCTGGCCTTTTCAGTTCACTTTGCATGGTGACATGACAAGGGTGGGTATGGGGTTCAGCTGCAGCTACACTGACCGGCAAGGTGCACATTGTCCTGTTCCGCCCTGTGGGTTTCTCTTGTCTGGAAACACCTGTGGGGCTGGAGTGTAAGCAGGAGGGCAGGAAGATGATGTACCAGGCTAGGACCCTTATAGGGTTGTGCTTGCATTTCCAGTACATCCAGCAGTGGTACTGGGAATACCAGTTGCCTGCAGTGCAGGTGGCATTCTGTGAGAGATTAATAAGATGCCATTAAATCCTGAGACACAACTTGTTCTGAACGAATAGATGTCCGGGAGGTTCATTCTGCAGGATGCTGGTTACTTCATGACAGCAGAGTGCAGCAATGTGTTTCTTCCTGTACCTAAGGGCTGAATTACCCAAGTCTTTGTTTCTGAGTGGTGTGAGGTAACATTTTAAACTCTAGAACAAAGTTTATTGATTCCCATCATTGCCCTGAGACAAGCTTCCTTGTGTCTTTAGGCAAATTGTGCATTTGGAATTGTAAATATTTCCTTACTCTTACTGATGATACGTGATGCGCTATGTAGGTGGGAGCAGCCTGGAGAACGTAGGGTACACTTGCTCGTCTTCAGACCACGTAGTAGGTACCCAAGCTTTTCAAGCAGGAGGGTTTGCTCTCTGCTGCTGTGGAGCTGGTGACCTTGGTTACAAAACCCATCTTTGCCTTAGCACAGGCATGACTGCTGTACATCTGTTTTTCCCTTTTCCCAGGTTCCCTTCCAAGCAAATTCCAACCCAGGCTTTTGAATCCCATAGCAGGAAGTGGACCTTCAGTTCTGTGGAGGAAGGATGCTGCAGGCACAGCCTGCTTTGGTATGGTCTGAGGGAGGGGAGCACTGATGGTGGATGGAGCATGAAGCGGCGGTGCAGGTCTGCGGGGGACTGGAGCAGACACCAGACCCAGCCGCCTGTGCTGGTCAGAGCCCTGGCAGGGAGAGCCCCTGGGGGTCAGGGTCAGGAGGAGATGGCCAGATCCGGGTAGGAGTAGGCGTTAGTTTGACTCTGCAAGCTTCTGTTGCTGTCTCCTGTAATGTGGAAAAGCCGTGATTACTAAATGTGCTTCTGAGAGGGAACACTGAGTGAGGATGGCCTGTGTGTGTCTTGGGACCATGTGGAAGGAAGGAATGGGGCGTGTAAGGAGTAATTCTGAGAGAAGAAAACTTCTCCTTGAGCTCAGGGATGAGAGAATTTGGGGGGATCAGGGATCAGTAGTGAGGAGAGTTGGAAACATGAAAGAAACTGTGGTCCAGGTGGGGTAGGCTAGGAGGCTGTGGCAGGGCAAGTTCTGTCACCTCAATCGGCTGACCAGACCTTCTCACCAGCATCTGGACCAGAGCTTTCCTCATGCCCCTTTAAACCTTCTGAAATGGCCTCAAGTTGCGCCAGGGGAGGTTTAGATTGGATATTAGGAAAAATTTCTTCACTGAGAGGGTGGTCAAGCGTTGGAACAGGCTGCCCAGGGAGGTGGTGGCGTCACCATCACTGGAAGCATTCAAAAAAAATGTGTGGATGTAGCGCTTCGGGACATGGTTTAGTGGGCATGGTGGTGTTGGGTTGATGGTTGGACTTGATGATTCCAAATTAATGATTCTGTGATGCTGTGAAATGTGGCAGCCATGATTATGTGCTGTAAGAAACAAGGTTTGTAGAGCACGTTAAGATTAGCTGTTACATACCCCTTTTGATTTAATAACCATTGTTCATTAATGGTAACTGAACATCAGAAAGACAGCAAGAGTTTTATGGGCTTGCTTTCTAACTCATTCTATTCGGACCACCCGCTGAACAGTGCATTGCTCTGCAGCTGCCTGCTCCACCCTTTGCATGGTGGGATCTCTGTTGTATCCTTGTATGTTCTGGAACTGGAGAAGGCACAAAACAATCTGCAGAGCGGATTACTTTAGCTGCACAAACCTCTCTCCAAGTAGACTTCTCCTGAAATGTTAATATACTGGAGGATAAGCTCTTTATGATCTTTTCTGGCTTACTGGAAGATGGTTGTGTGCAAGGAAAACTATAGTAAAATTCTTGTGAATCAAGAGGGCAGAGTTAAAATAACCAGTGTGTTAATGGCCGAGGAAAACTGCTTCTTGTTAAGTGCACAGCCAGGGCTGGTTCTTTGGCACGTCTCCTCTGAGCGTGGGAAGAGTGTGTGTGCGCGTGTGGAGGTGGGAATAAAGTTGCTAACTTGTTGCTGACATGTGATTCTTCATAGCACTTTTTTGCACGTTTCACTGAAATAATCTTGCTTGGACTCTGTAACAGCATTGTCTAATCAGTCTTTTTTATTTCCTCCTCCTCTCTCCCCCCTCTCCTTCACCAGTCAGCGTATGCTGTGTCAGTACTTAAAGAGTGTGCTAAACTGCGACCTACAGATCCCACCGTTCCTCTTCTGGCTGCCAAGGTCTGCATTGGGTCACTGCACTGGGTAAGCAAGCTGATGCAATTCTTATTATGTAATGGATCAGGTGCTGCAGTGACAGTGCCACAGTGTAGTTGCAGTGGGGAGAAAGGGAATGCCTGTTAAAAATCATACACACATGCATGCCTTTTAAAAAAAAAATGAAAATCAAATGAAAATCCCAGCCAGGAATTTTGCAGTGAGTCACTGAAATGTGTTTTGCTGGTACATTAAACAAAAGAGGAGGGGGGAAAGCCATAACAGCTGTTCTGGGTACTGCTGCTTCCACTGGGTGTTGAGTTGAATCTTGTAGCCCCTGGAAGACAAAAGTTAATAATTATTAAGTGGACTGTTAGACAGTTCAGATCTGCTGGACGGCTCAGTCCTTTGTTCTTGAAGTTGCTGTGTCAGTGTTTTCTATTCTGGATGTGTTAATGTATGCCCCAGAAGCAGAGTGGGAGTGGAAGCCTGTGCCTGTGAAATTTTGATTATTCCAAGGAGCAGAAACATCTGTCAGTCTTTTGCTGCTTCGTTTAATTAATTGAATGGCAGCCTGCTATTTTCACCTGTCCTCACCACGAGGTGTCCCTGCAGTCAATGAAGGATTATAATTGCTAATATAAGTAAAACAAAGATGCAAGAAAGCATGAAAGAAAATACCAGAAGAATCTGCACAGATTTTGGTGAGAAGCTGTAGGGGCTAGATTTGCTGCTGTTGTCTCCCTAACCCTGCCTCCCCATCCTCTGCATTCCCATCTGGTGAAAGTTGGTATTCAGCTAAACTTAAATTGAGTTGTATCAGTTCACACCACTGTCAGCGAGGAGATCTGATTATATATGTTTTTGAATGAACTATATTGTTCAAACTATAATGATTAAACTTACATGTGAATCAGCAAAAATTGGGAAGTGTCTTGTTGTAGGAAAAATCCTTCAGATCTGAGGGCCTTGAGGGGAATCCTTGCTGAACTACCCAGCCTACTTCTGTTCTCTATATAGAGCAATTTAACTCTTTTGTACCCTTAGCTCAGGATCGAAATTTGGGATGCTGAAAGTCATTCAGTGATATAAAATACCATTCGCAGAGAATGTTACTTTTTAATAAAGCAAATAAGCTTTTTTCCTGTTTCTTAGAGATGTTAAAAAAATATGAAAGCCAGGTGTTACAACTATGTTGAATGCTCTTACTAGTATCTCTAATGAAGTTTTCAAAGCAAGATCAACTTGTCGTTAGTCTAAAACATCAGCAAGTATATTGATAATTTTTACTCTATAGGCTCTAAAGCTAGAGGACCTTAATGCAGCAATTTAGCCCATGCACTTGGAGCCATAGTGGGGGACTGCAAAGACCCTGACAGCTTCCCCTGGCAATGCTGCTGTCTCAGTGATTGCCAGGAGGCAAAAAAAAAATTAAAACCCAGCAGAACAGTTGTGTTAAATGGGAGGAAAATCTTTCTCTCAGATTAGGCTAATTTTTTGTCTAGGAGCCTGAATTTTAGATCTTGGGATCTCTATATTGCAAATAAATCTTTTACTCTTCTGCCTTCCTGCTCTGTGAACATAAATCCAACAAGGGGAAGGCACTGGAGCCATGAAGCCAATGAGGGAAGATGCCCTGTTGGACCTGGTATTTAAAAACAAGGAAGAACTGGTTGGCAGTGTGAAGACTGGGGGCAGCTTTGACTGCAGTGACTACAAGGCGGTGAAGTTCAGGATTCTGAGAGAAGGCAGCGAGGCAAACAGCAGAATGGTCCAATTCAGATGTGCTTTGACTGACTTTGACCGCTTCTAAACATAAATAGTGACTTCAAGAAGCTGTGATCTCTTGATACTTTCTAAACATGTGACCTCTGCCATAAGACTGTGAGATGGATCAAGAACTGGTTAAGCAACAGAGCTCAAAGGGTTGTGGTCAGCGGTGCAGAGTCCAGTTGGAGGCCTGTAGCTAGTGGTGTTCCTCAGAGATCGATACTGGATCCGTTTTTGTTCAACAACTTCATCAGTGACCTAGATGAAAGGTTGGAATGTAGCCTCAGCAAGTTTGCTGAGGATACAAAACTGGGAGGAGTGGCTGATACACCAGGAGGCTGTGTTGCCATTCAATGAGATCTGGACAGACTGGAGAGCTGGGCAGAGGGCAACCTCATGAAATTTAACAGGGACAAGTGTAGAGTTCTGCACCTGGGGAGGAAGAACCCCATGCACCAGTACAGGCTAAGGGTTGACCTGCTGGAAAGCAGTTCTGTGGAGAAAGACCTTAGAGTCCTGATAGACAGTAAGTTATTCATGGGACAGCAATGTGGCCTGGTGGCCAAGAGGGCCAATGGATCCTGGGGTGCATTAAGAAGAGTGTGACCAGCAGGTTGAGAGAGGTTATCCTCCCCCTCCGCTCTGCGCTGGTGAGTCCTCATCTGGAGTATTGTGTCCAGTTCTGGGCTCCCCAGGTCAAGAGAGACAGGGAACTTTTGGAGAGAGCCCAATGGAGGGCTACGAGGATGATTAAGGAACTGGAACATCTCTCGTATGAGGAAAGACTGAGAGACCTGGGGCTGTTTAGTCTGGAGAAGAGAAGGCTGAGAGGGGACCTTATCGATGTCTATAAATATCTGAAGGGTGGCTGTCAGGAGGATGGAGCCACTCTCTCTTCAGTAGTGCCCAGTGATAGGACAAGGGGCAATGGGCACGAACTGCAGCACAGGAAGTTCCACCTCAACATGAGGAAAAACTTTACTGTGAGAGTGACGGAGCACTGGAACAGGCTGCTCAGAGAGGTTGTGGAGTCTCCTTCTCTGGAGACCTTCAAAACCCAACTGCACGTGTTCCTGTGCAACCTGCCCTAGGTGATCCTGCCTTGGCAGGGGGATTGGACCAGATGATCTTCAGAGATCCCTTCCAACCCCTAGCATTCTGTGATTCTGTGATAATTTTGGACAAAATTGAAATAAAGTGAATGCACCTTGTGACACTCCATGCCAAAATAAAGATCTTTGGGATGTTCTTATGTTTAAGAGGAGCAGTGAAGTTTTAATAGCGGCACTCTACCAAATACTGGGTCACCAATGTGTATTGAGGTGAAAGGACAAGTTTCTGTACTGTGAGAAATCACGTACAATCCCTTTTCTTTCATGTGCTACTCTGGTGTTTATGCAGCTCTCACTATTGAGGACGAAATTTCAAATGGTGCCATTAAAGTCTGCTGACTGTGATGGATGAGGAGTTGAAATTATGAGCCCAAATTGAAAATTCTGCTATGCCAGGAACTGGACAGAGTCAGGATTTGTCCTTCTCATTGGTGCTTTCCCCAACATCTCTTTGGATCTGCTAGCACAGCAGCATATAAAGAATGCCTTGTTATAGAGACACTTAGAAAAGAAGGTGAGACTATAATTCAGCCACAACTCTGTCCTCAGGCAATCCAGTATATTCAGACTTCTCGTACATGGCAGAGCTGATAAAGCAACAGTTTTAACGCTAAAAAATAGGAGAAGGAAGGGGGAAATGAACTGGTTTTGATTATTGCAAAGTTAGAGGGTGTTTTCCTCTATCTAATGCTTTTCCATTGTGTGAAGCACTTTTCAGTATTTTCCAATCAGACCCTGGCTTAGAACTGGGGTGCAGTATGAAATACAAACACGGTTTCACAAGAGGGTAATTTTAGTGCAAGTATCTAGAGCGCAACCTTATGAACTAAAACCAAATTAAAAATATTCCTCTCTCCCCTTCACTCAGTGGCCTATGCTCTACCCTGATACCAAACTCGATGATGGTATAGAAGAGTTTTAATTAAGGGGAGAAATCAGAGCATCTTTTAAAAGAACTGAAATGATAGGTTCCCACATCTCATAGTCAAAGGGATGTTTCTGATATTACTGGCAAATTCCTCTGCCTAATAAAGACCTTCCTGCTTAGCAGAGCTGTTTTTCTAAATGTCATCCTTACAGTAATTATTTGCATTTAAATTACAAGGCAATCAAATCAGAATTGAATCATTTAAACTGGAAGTGAACAAACTGATCAATGCCAGTATAAATAGAAAGGAGGATAGACATGGCACGGGAACAGCCTAATGGACAAATATTAACAGTTACAAATACTCAGAGATATCTTGCTTTTCAGAAAATATAAAATATGATTAATTTCTCCATTAGGAAATATACCTACATACTTGATTGCTGGCTAGGTAGGAAAAGGGTGAAATCAGATCACCATTTATCCAATGAAACAGCTAACTTTTATGTCCTGCATTTGTCTACTATGTGTTTCTGGTGCAGTATTGTACTTTGTTTATGGTCCATGGACAAGCAGTACTTTTGTCTTATTTTAGTTACTAGTGATGAAAAAAACAATGCAGCTGGATAATAACAGAATGTTGTGAGAAGCACAGAACAGTTTCTTTTCTGATTAATCTAGTGGTCACTTAACTCGTTTTGCTGGCTTTGTAGATGGTGTCTCAGCACACTTCAAGAACGGGGGAAAACAAAACATTAATTGAAATGTACCGTAGTGATTTACAACATTGAGGATGCTGAGATCACATCTATGAAATAATCTCTCAATGCAGAAGAAATCAAAGTAAAAACATGCATACATTCATACTGTGCCATGCAAATCAATATATAACAGAGTCTGATGTGGAAAAGAACTAAACGCCCCCAGCTTCTGTTGTGACAGTATGACTGGATTCTTAGCTGATGTAAGTTGGCACTACTCTACTGGCATATTACTGGCACCATGCTGGCTTACATCAGCAGATGATCTGCCCCATCAACCACTAGCTTTCAGAATTGGGCCTGCAGTAAAAAAATGTTTTGGTTACCTGTTTCAGAATTACAGGTTTCTATAAATTCTATAAATTAAAAAAAAAAGAGTGAGCAATTGCCTTGGAGGACCAGAAAAGCTCCAACACTAGTGCACCTATATAGATCACACTAGTCTCGTCAGGATGTGATTGGACCTGTACTTAATAAAGCTCAAGAGATACAAAAGTGTTCAGCAAAGTTGGAACTTTTATACTGTATCTAGCCCAT